CAGAATGCTAGTAATTCATAGTGTCATAAGAAAAGGTTTATGTTCCAGGAGACTTTGAAAGAACATTCACTGCAGGGAGCAGAGGTGGGGGAAAAACATGGAAGAGACTAAGAGTTTGGAGAATGGAGTTCTGCTCTGGCACCAACTGTTCTGTAAGTTGCAATAGTGAGGAGTGATATTTTCTTTAGTGTGACCAGAATCTGTTGGTGAGAATATCTTGCGATTTGGGGAAATATTATGTGTATTTTCTCAGCCTTACCACAGATATCCCCCATTTTTATGTACCTACACTTTCCTTTTTATAGAGTTGCCTTGTTACTTTATTCAAAGCAGCTGATTTCTCATTGTAATTGTGATCTTAAATTTGTGCTGGGTTCTCTTTTCATTGAGAGATAACCAAAAGACAAGTAAATGATTACAAAAGAAACCAAAAAAAAAAAAAAAAGAGAGAGAGAGAACATTGATGGTGTACGTTTCACTTTTTGCTGCTATTATCTGGAGTGGTCACAAGGTAGAGACAGCATATTACAATGAAGGAGAAACTCTCCAAAGGATGTAGGCTCAGACCACCAGGGTCCAAAGTATGGGGTGAGCCATCTCGGAGCCTCTGATTGGCCTGAAAATAGAGCACTTCAGCACATGGAGCTGAATCAGCACTTTTCCTACTGGTCAGTGTCTCTTCAAGGTCAAGTAAACAAGCTATTCCTATGGCCCCAAATTGCTCCTTATGCCAACATGCTCCTGGGAGAGTAAGTAGGTCACAATATGATCCAGATGATAATTCCTTTCAGGTTTTCAGGTTGCTAGGAGCCCTGGCGGTTGTCCTGTTTCTGGCCCACACTCTCTTCAATCTTGCTCGGCTGGCTATTTCTCCTCTGAGGTCTTGCTCTCAGATCTGCATATATTTACATGCTTTAGGCTATAAGTTTTTCAGCTACAAATTATATAAAATAGAGTTCAGTCCTCTGCCAGTGTGATTTGACTTTCTCCCCATTTCCTTACTCTAAAAAATAAATAAAAACATGAAAAGGGACAATTAAAAAAAGATGACTTTCTATAGAGGTCTTCAACTACAGCAGTCAAGACAACTGTTGTCTTAGTAATTACTATCCAGAAAGAAACATTTTTATTTCCAACTTCCAGAATACTTAGCTCCAAGTTGGTGTTATGCTTACTGTACACAGAGGGAAAAGTCTTTACAGCTCAAAGAACAAATGACTTATGATCTCTCTCACATCAGGCTACATAACAAGACAGTATGAAGACTCAGAAACATTTTCTAGAAGTTCTTATATAAATTACTAATAGTAAAATACGGGCTTTTAACTGTTCTTAGCTTGGATTGTTAGTAAAGTTATACTCTGAAAAATCAGTGGGTCAGACCTTTCTGCCCTTAAGGTTACTGTGGTCTTAACCCTCAGTAATCATTTTTCTACAGTGTTTTTTTTCCTTCTTGTTCTGAACTTGCAATAAATTTCTTATTTTCATCCATCCACTCTAACTCTTAACGGTGTGTGGGATTGAGAATGAATAATACTACTATAAATAGTACTTAAAATTATAAGTTCAGTAAAATTTCATTTTTTGTACTTGAACTGTGAGTTCATAAAATACATTTGTGTAAATTTGAAGGCTTTTTATTCAAGACATTTTTCTACTCTCTGAGATCAATAATTTTAATAAATATAATTTGTTTTTTTGTACTGTGGGTTGAACTCGGATCCTTGCGCTTGCAAGTCAGGCCACCAAACCGCTGAGCTAAATCCCTGGCCCTAATAAATATAATTTTTTAATAACTCTGAGTCATTCTCCCTAGAGCTGGCCAGTGCCCAACTTACACCACTGTAAATAGGAGGTAGAAAGAGTCTTACACCTTATCAGAGTGTGTAGTACCCTTTTACTAGAGGAATTCAGTCTTCATAGATTGACTACAACTGCTCAAAACTTGGGACTTTATAGGAGGTAGTGCTTCACAAATAATTGAAATGATTTCTAAGACAAATAGTTTCTTCATTTAGGATTGTAATATAAAGCTCTTCAGTTCTCCAAGAGACAGCAGAGACATGAGACCAATCTTTTCTGAGGAACTCACCTCCAGCAAAACATAACTTTGATGTTATATAGACAAATATGCAACATAAACCATGCACTACAGTGCATTATTATAGGGTACATTATAATCTGTGTATGTGCAGTATTTAAAAATATATCTGACACATGGATATAAGAAAAATGGTTCTCTCCATGCTGCTAAAATGTAGACAACTAATGTGTTTCCATGGCTTGATTCACATGTTATTTCTGAAATCTAAACAATAATGGATCAAATATTTACCTAGATTAATGGTTTAAATTAATCATCCCATTATTCTCTGAGGCTCATAATGGTAATCAAAGATTATGATCTACATTTAGTGCCACTCTGTCTATATCCTATTAAACATTCATCTTTTTGTTAGTTTTTGTTTTGTTTTGTTTTGTTTTCCAGGACCAGGGATGCGCTCCAGGACCTTGTGCTTGCAAGGCAGGTGTGGTGCCACTGAGCCAAATCCCTGGTTTTTTTGTTAGGTTTTATGGACAAAATGTAAAAATGATTTCTACCACATAGATGAGAGGATAAAATCCAAATTTAATGTAGAGCTAAACATATGAAACTTCTCTGGGCAAATTTACTCTCTGGGTCTTTGTTAGTGTTTAAGTGGATAGGCAAAAGTCTTGGGCTGTCTTCTGAGCTTCCTGTGGGTAAAAGACCCAGGAAGCTAATTTCATGGATGGGGACAGATGGAATATTTTAGAAATAAGCTATGAAGATGAGGTAAAATGACAAGGGTGGTTTCTGCAGACATTGCCTAGAGAAACTTTTGAACAGTGACATGTAGTCTTTGGGGCAGAGTGTATCTAAATAGATAGACACCTCTTCAACCCTTTCTGTCATAAATCACTCATCCACTGCATTCCAGTTATTCCAATTGATACTTTGCCTTTTGCCTTAAATATTCTTTGTACCATCTTCTGTGTTTTGAACATTTTCTTTAACAATTAAGTCAAGGGTTGAGGATATAGACCAGTGATAGAGCACTTGCTAGCATGCGCCAGTGCAAAGCCTTAGGTTTGATGCCCAGCTCTACAAGAGGGATTTACAAAAGGGAAAGAAAGGGAGAAAGGAGAATGAAGTCACTCTCCATTTCTAGGCCTTGTTCCTTCCTGTGCAACTTACACGGATTCTGCTGCTAGCATGTACATGAATCATAAGGTATTAATGTTACTTATTTGCCACTTACGTCCTATAGAATGTTGACTCACTGAAGGTAGGACAAGCGCCTCCTTACTTGGGGTATTTGTGTGAATAGAATATGACGCACCGACAATGGAGTTTATGAAATCAGTAAATGAATATGACTCATTACCGAGAGATGTATCCTGCTTTTGGGCATTAAAAAAGGAGCCCAAATGTATTTTTGAGCACATGTACTTTTTGGCATTTTCCAGGTGCCAAAGATAGATACAGGTGTTTTGTTGGCTGCAACAGTTTGTGTATGAGACAAAAACTTTCTCATGGATGAACTTACAAAATATCTACTCATGAAATCCATAGTAAACATTTTGCAAGGTAGTGGTAACTTGCTTGGTATGGATCAAGTCAGTAGTGAGTAAAAACATCAGCTGATGGATAACATGACATTAAATAACTCCTTCCAGGAACATTTAAAGTCTTCTCACAGAGTAGACAAAGAAATACAATATCAAAGAAGAACTGTTGTATTAAGATTAGAATGAGAGGGCTGGAGATTTAACCCAGTGGTTTCTCCGCCTGCCTCACAAACACAAGGAAGTGAGTTCGATCCCTGGTACCAAAAGATTAGAATGAGATTTTTGGGTAGTTATCAGACGGTAGTTGAAATTTTTTTATACCTTGAGGTTTCTCATAGTTATGAGACAATAAGTGCATTGGGATGGTGAGTGTTACTCCAGGAGGGAGAAGAACACAATCATATCTTTGTCTCAGAATACATCTCCCCCATTAGGACCTGGGTCTCCTGGAGAGCAAGTTAGTGGATCGTCATCATATAATTTTCTGATTTCTTCGTTTTTCGTACTTTGTTTCAGATGATCATATTAGACAATTTTCAAGTTAAGATGAAGCTTGTAAACCCGATCTTCTCTTTTTATGTCCCAAATAGCCTCAGGATTAATCTTATTCCTCCTCTTCTCCAATTGGACCATAACCATCCCGGCAGCTCTTCTGGTAAGGCTCACCTGCTGTTCAGGCACATCACCTCTTCTGGGGTGCTCCTGCTAGCACACCTCACTGGGGTGGAGCACTTCAGTAGTTACTTTGGAGCTAAAGCAAAATTACCTGAAAGTAAATTTCTGTTTCTATAACCACATATATATTTTCTTACTTAGCCAGATGTTTTTTTTTCCTTCACAATCAGGAAATAATTATTTTCATGAAGCTATCTTGAAAGCGGAAAAAAATATACACTGCAATCATGGCACTGGGATTCCTATCATTTTCTCTTTAACTTCTACTTCACAGATATAGGGGATGAAAAAGCCAGCACATGACTAAAGAGCACTTTTTTTCAAGACATATATTTTAGTTCAACATCACACGGTATCACTCAGATCCAGTGCCATTTGCTGGGTGGTGTGTGTACTCACACTTCTGCCTGATGTGGAAATTAAAGGGGAAGAGCCATGTCTTTCTTTCCTGCAATTTTAAAAGCTGAGTTTATTTTTGCGTGAGTAGGAAAAAGAGAAAATATATTAGCAGATCTTTTCCCTCTTTCATTTGCATCCTTATATTTAGCTCAGCCATTTCCTTCATTTTCAGATGATTTGTATATAGAAACCCATTAAGGAAACATGCCTGAAACAAGTAGATACCATACAGGCTTACACAAAGATGCAAATGCAGTTCAGAGATTTTATCAGCTAATCAATTACAAACTGTTTTGACAAAGAAATTTATGGTTTTGTTCAAATACCCATGTATGAGCTTTGCGCAGTGGCAGTATCGTAGCCAATGAGGTTTATCCGAGGCGCGATTATTGCTAATTGAAAACTTTTCTCAAATACCCATGTATGTATCTTATGTACATTCTGACTCTCATTGCTGGATATTTCTGTAGCACGTCATATACTTCCAAAGCTCTCTTTAGCCAGTAATTATTGCTAACAATAGTCTAGGCCTTGGCACTGTTTACAGACACCGCTGGCTGCTAAGAGAAGCAATCTAGACCATAGCTGACTGCAGTTAAATTAAATTATCATAGAGATACAACGTGTGCTGCTGCCTTGCTCTAGACATGAGCCCAGGATTAAAAAAAGATTGATAGACCACAGAAATTGATCAACAAATAACTGTGTAGGTGGTGCTGTAAGGTACTTACCTCTACAAATACTGATGCAGATAAATGGGTTGTCGCTTAAAAATTGTATTTTCCCCAAAAGGGGGGTTTATTTTTTTGTTTTCCCCATAAATATCAGGTCTCAAGTGATAATAGCAATGTATTCGTGTCTCCTCTATGTGAGCCCACAGGATATGTAGAATCAGAATTGCCTTCATATAACTAACATAAAATCTCACAAGTGGGGGATAGGTTCTGCATGCTTGAGACTGACCACTTGTCACCCTGAGAAAAGTTGTAGAAATGACTCATTGAAAGGTGACAACGCCACCACCACCACCACCAACAGCAACAACAGCAATGACACCAACCTAGACTATGGACCTGCAGGTCTAAAATAGAGAAAGAAGTAGAAAAGTACAATAGGTTATGCCTACTAATATAGCTACTGCTTAATGGATTATAAGAATTAATTACATAAATGACACTGGTACTTTTGTGTTTATAGAAAAATATAAAAAATAATTTTAGTTTGGAAGATTGAAGATGTTTAACAAAAGCTAATTAAATAAGCCACTTAGCTTTTCAGCTTTTAACTCTTCACATGTATGCAGAGGCTCTACATTAGACTCTAGAGAATCTAGTAAACTATTAGATGCTACTGTACTTTTAAAGAAGTATATAAGACACAATTCCTACTGGTAGGATCTAGAAGCTGAGCCTAGAAGCTATTACAGAAAAATATGAAGTAAAAACTTTTAGTCATCTAACTCTGTAAAGCATATGCACAATTATTGTTTTGTTTGCAGCTGGAATAGCTACTGAGTCCTCAGTTGATATGGGTGGTTTGAGATCCAGTAGAATGCAACGTACAGACTGTCTTCATTAGTTTTGATTGTGAAAGATTGTGAAAGATGATAAGTATTAATAATCATAAAAAAGAACAGAAAGAATTCTTATGGGCTCACAAGATCACATGAGTTAACCTACACCATGTTGAAATTGGTATGTGTCATGCAGAGGCAGTAAAATAAGTGTATATGTGAAGGGAATAAAGTGAAATGCAAAAATATTTTATTATGTATTAGTCTTAATGGTAGAAGTGGCTCTCTGTCTTTTCTGTTAAAAATAGAGTGTAGGACTTCATACAGTGATAAATTATAAAATGCTATATATTCCTCTCTCATCCCTGTTTATATTGGGATGTAAATTTTTTGCTATGGCCAAATAAATCAAGCACTGACAGCAGATGCATTTCAGTATAACTCTGAAGAAATGGTGCTGGTACTTAAGATTCATACAAATAGCTGTAATTAATATCACATCATAAAGGTGTAGCATTGTCATGCTCAGGAATATCAGTTATTATCAGCTTTCTGCAGTAGCAAAGGAAATCTTTTCAAATAAAAAAATAATTTGGAAACAGATTCAATCTAAGTGCCCAAATTACTCCCTAAGATTGAAGTAGGGAGGGTATTATTCAATTATTTATTTAATTCCTTCATTACATAGTTAAGAAAAATGTAGTTCATTTATTCATTTGCTCATTAAGTATTTACCAATTGTCCATTATGTGCTAATTGTATTATTAGGGCTGGGTAGGGGGAGCTAAGAGCAAGCACTAAGACCAACCTAGAATGGACAAGAGCATTTCTTTCTGGAGCTTGCATGGTTGACTTGGAAAAGTCTCTTTGATGGGATGGTATTTAAGCTGATGGATGGCAAAAATGAACCAGTTTACAAAGTTTGAGTGGAGAGTGTTCTAGGCAGAGGACCAATTAAGGAAAGATTTTAAGGCAGAAAGAAGCCACAGATAATGAAGAAAACAAATTCATTGATCACAGGGAAAAGAAGACCACGAAAGATGGGACAGAGGAGACAGAGAGGGGCAAAAAAAAAAGGTTAGTTTTGTGAGCTGGGGCAGCAAGTTTGTGAAGATTTAAGTAGGAAAGTGACATGATACCATTACACTCTGAAAACTTCAATAATGTGTAAAGAACGGATCAAAGAAGGGGATAATGTTAACTAGATAGGATCTGTGCTACTCTGAGGCAGAGATGGTGGTTTGGACTATGTTGGTAAAAGTTGAGAGAATTATTTGCATGGAAAATACATTTTGGAGCCAAATTATCTAGATGAAAAATTGGATGTTAAGGGGAAAAAACTGTAGAAATCAAGGATGACTCCTGTGATTTTACCACAAGGAATATTTTCTGGGGAGATAGCAGTGTTGTTCCTTGAACAGAGAAAGGCGAAAAGAAGAGCAGAATTGGTAGAATCTTTGTTATTTGGGGATATATGTTTTTATGGATTTTATATATTCATGGGGGAATATATAATTAACTTAAATAGGCAGTCAGACATTAACAACTGGCTTATGGATGATTTCTAGGGTCATGCGATGGAGGGAATTCAAACAGGACAAGTCTTGTGGTTCTGGTAAAGAAACGAAGAGCCAACAAAAGAGCCACACTAGGAGGATTAGGGGTATATGGAGAAAATGAGGAGACCATGGTGTCAGGGACACAGAAAAGAGGTTTGAAGAACATTGGAATTATTAACTCTGACAAATGCCTATTGTGATGTCAGGTAGTATGAGATTGGGGAAGTAACCATTGATTTTGACAACATGGAAATCATGTTATTTGTTTTGTTTTAGGGCACCCAGGTAGAAAGTGCTTGTAGTATTAGTGATTTATTTTTTAATCCACAAAACATAGCACTATGCATCCTGTTGTTTAAGAATTTTTGCTACATGTTAGTTTCATGTTAACACTGTCATTGTATCATTAGAAAATTAAGTTAACATAGCTTCATATTAGTTTGATAAATTTACCAATTAAAGCTTTGTCTATGATCTCATGGTTCAAAATATATTTCCTGTAAAGTTGGGAAAGAACCAAAATTACCAAGTCCCATTTAAAAGGCAGAAATAGAGGCAAACAGGTGGTAAAAAACTTCTATAGGTAGTTGTTATGAATTCAGTATTAAACCCAAAAATGAAAATATCTGAGCCAGAGGTTATATTACCATTTTGAATTCAGACAGAATATCTCCCTCAAAAACATCAATTTTCACAGCTCTCAGCATTAAGTTGGGTGTCTTTTAGGCAATCAGAAAGGCACACAGGGATTTGTTTCCTGGGAGTCTGTAAGATTCACTGAAGCCTTAAGAAGAAAGGATGTGTCAGTTGATTTTCTGTTGCTATAACACATACCTGAAACCAATCAAATTAAGGTGAGGAAAAGTTTAGTTTGGCTTATTGTTTCAGCCCCTGGTCACTTGTCCATGTTGCTTTGGCTCCATCATAGCCCAGCACATCATGGAGGGAGTGGGGGGCAGAGGAGGCCGCTCACACCATGGGCCTTGGGAAGCAAAGAAGACAGGAAAGGTCAGGGTTCTACTATCTCCTTCAAGGCCAGCCACCAAAGACCTAATTTCCTTCCACTAGACCTCACCTCTTAAAGGTTCTACCATTTTCCACTCTTGCCATGAGCAGGACCCAGCCCTTAACATGGGGGCCTTAGAGTGATATTTCATCTTCTATGGCTTAGACTGGAAAATTTCCCTTTCTGATGTTAGTGCAACCTCTCATAAAAAATGATGAAATGCTGTCAGTGCTGAACACACCCAAACTGTTTCAGAATATATCGACATTAATCCCTGTACCCAGGACAGGAGTAAAAATGAATCACTCATAGGTGCTATGTCAAAAATCCCCCTTCATTTAGGGAGCTGAAAACATGTGATTCCAGTGATACCTACAAGAACTATTTAGGGTCAGAGACCTTGACTTGTTTGATTTGATTTATGATGAATCCAGTTTATTGGAAGAAATGTTTTAAGTATTACTTTTCCTTCTGTTAAACTTGGGAACATGCCAAAGTTTTCCTACAAAATGTACCTGACTCTTAGGGGCTTAAACTGTAAAAGGTTTACAACACTTGGCACATTGTACATAAAATATGGCCTAAATATAAGGAAACTTCTTTTTAAAGTGAACTTTGCTTTTCTCTTACTTTAATTGTCTGCTCTTTGTCAAACCTATACACCCTCACTCTATCCATCCTCAATTTGATTTTCCGGTAGTAGAATGAAAGAGAATTTAAGGAACACACCTGGAATAAGAAGTTAATATTTTAGCTGGAGTAGGTCGGGGAGAGAACCAATAAACCGGCTCTTTGTACAGACGAGGAAAAGAACCCTAATGAGGGCTCCACACCCCAGTGACGATGAGACCAGTTGGAAACACAGGGAGAGGTGCATTATATGACAAATTGTTGGCACTCTTTCTGGATTACAACATTCACATGTCAATGAGTGATTATGAATGAATGAGGGATATTGCTTAGCACTTCCAAAATATGGTCTAAGACCAAAGCTAATTTCACCTTAATCAATATAAGCAGAAGTATACTTTGCAGAAAAAGCTGCCAGTCTTGGCATTTTGTTCTGAGGCCCATATTGTAGTAGAATACATGGGGAAAAGGAGAAGCATAGATACTTAGATACTGGTTTCCAAGCTAAGTCATATGAGAAACAGATGAGAGAAACAGAAGCATTAAAAATCCTCTTTGAACAGAGGGAGAACACGTAGTTAAAAAATGACGATGATACCCTTTGTTGTTAAAGACCAGTGCAAGGAAGTGGTATTCTATACTGGCTATAAGCTGCCTTAAGAATCGGACAGAACCAAAGAGCTCTGTGATTTTGTAGAACTGTACTAAACTCTGGTTTGAGTACATCTTTTTAAAGATGGGTTTATAATATTTAGAATCGACTTAAATGAACGAATGAATGTCAGGGTCTTATCTCTATGTCTGATATATAAAAAGTGCTAAGCCAATGGAAGATATCCCCTGCTCCTGGGTAGGAAGAATCAACACAGTGAAAATGGCCGTACTACCAAAACTGCTATATACATTCAATGCAATGCCAATCGAAATTCCAACATTATATTTCACAGAACTAGAAAAAAGAATCCAAAAATACATTTGGAACCATAAGAGACCTAGAATAGCAAAAGCCATCTTAGGCAACAGACACATGGCAGCGGGTATAACAATTCCCAATTTGAAACTAAACTACAAAGCCACTGTGATAAAAACAGCATGATACTGACAAAGAAACAGACCTGAGGATCAGTGGAACAGACTGGAAGACACAAAAACACATCCAGATGTACTCAGCTACCTCATCTTTGACAAAGGAGCTGACCATCCTCAATGGAGGAAAGATAGCCTCTTTAATAAATGGTGTTGGGAAAACTGGATTTCAACCTGCCACAGATTAAAGCTAGATGCTTATCTTTCACCATGCACTGAATTAAAATCCAAGTGGATTAAAGAGCTAAATATTAAAACAGAAACATTAAACTTGCTGGAAGGTAAGTTAGGCAAAACTCTGGAAGACATTGGCATAGGAAAAGACTTTATGAACAAATCCTCAGTAGCATGGGAACTACCAGATAGAATCAACAACTGGGATCTCATCATATTAAAAAGCTTCTGTACTTCAAAAGAAACAATCAGCAGAACTAAGAGACAACCTACAATGTGGGAAAAAAAATTTACTAGCTGTTCCTCAGACATAGGACTATTATCAAGAATATATAAAGAACTCAAAACAACCAGCCCCCCCAAATGTAAAAACCCAATTCAAAAATGGGCATCCAAAATGAACAGACATTTATCAGACAAAGAAGTAAAAGCAGCAAGTAAATATATGAAAAAATGTTCCACATCACTGATCATTCGAGAGATGCAGATGAAAACAATACTGAGATTCCACCTCACCCCACAAAGAATGGCTGCTATCAAGAAATCACACAATAACAAATGTTGGCGGGGTTGTGTGGAGAAAGGAACCCTTCTCTATTGTTGGTGGGAGTGCAGACTGCTGCAACCACTATGGAAATCAATATGGAGATACCTCAAAGAGCTGGGACTAGAGGTTCCATTTGACCCAGCAATCCCTCTGCTGGGTATCTTTCCAAAAGAATTAAAAGAATCATACCACATTGATATATGTGTACCTATGTTTATAGTGGCACAGTTTGTAATAGCTAAAACTTGGAAACAGCCCATTTGCCCATCCGTTGGAGACTGGATAAAGAAGATGTGGTTTTTCTATAAAATGGAATACTTCTCAGCCATAAAAAATGAGAAAATAGATTCATCCATAGGAAAATGTATACATATTGAAGATATACTCCTAAGTGAAATAAATAAGGCACACATATGTAAATACCAAATAGTTTCTCTGGTATGAATAATCTGCAATAATACATAAGATCTTAATAAGATTACTGACATTGAGAAATGGGAAGAAAGGAGCTAAAGGTGTAGGGAAGGTGGGATGGGTAGGGGAAGGGTAATAAGGGAAAAGAAAAAAATGTGAGATAATGAAAAGACGAAAATAAAGTGTTTGTAGATGGGGAGGGGAGAAGGAGGTGAAGGGAGGGCAGGGACAAGGGGAAAAAATGAGAACCAAGATCTGTCATGTAGAGGTACAAGATCCCAACAATGAATGTAACTGTACTGTATCCCTAAAATGTACCAATAAACTCAATTAAAGCTAGGGGAAAAAAGTGCTAAGCCAATGGTAACAATTATTATCAATCTTTTCATATTCCTGTGGGAAGAATGTTGTGCTCAAAATAACTGTTCGTTTCCCTGAGGGGAATGAGGGCACATGCAGATGGTGTTACACATGAGAGTGGCAGAAGATTTCATGCATGAGGTAAACAGTTTCTAAGTTGCCTCCATCCACACGTGCCAAGGATGTTATTACTTTGACCTTCTAGTCTGTTTGCACCGCCGTTCTGTGCACTTCTGGAGAATCCAGAAGCCCTAAGTTTGATTTTGAAACTATTCTTGAACCAGCAAAATGTGGCTATAAAACAGGAGTAAAGTCATGTTCTCATGTACTGTGTCGTCATTTTCCCTGTCATAAAGTCCACCGATGGTTACTTCCTTCCGTGGATTTTCAGCCTCATCCGCCTAGGTGACTCTGCTCTGACTATGATCCAGACACCAGGTGCTCGAATCAGAGCCTGTTCTCTCTCCTATCTCCACTTTGCACACGAGAAGCAGTGTGTGACAAGTCCATTGCCTGCCACGGAGGAGCAAGGGGAAGTCGAGAGGTAGCGAGACATGAAACAAGAGCTGAAAGAGAATAAGAGGAGATGTCAAGTTCACAGTGCAAGCTATCTCCAGTCAGAATTAGTGGGAATGGAGCTGTCTGTAGTTCCTTAGCACCAAACGGGGCTAGCTGCCTTCTAAATTCTAATACTGTAATTTACTTTTCTCAAATTTAATTTACTCTTTTGTGATATTTAATGGATGATTGGTATCAAAAGGTCATTTGCTTGTACAAGCTCTTACCCTTCATTCATGTTTTTGTTCAGGTAAACTTTCAATTGGAGAAACACAAAGGCTTTTCTGGATGTTTCCCATACAGAGGCAGGAATACATGAACAGAGGAGTGGCCTTGCCCTGGCCACTGGGGATGGTGGCAACTTGCTGGAGGAGATTCCGTATAAAACTCAGTTTTTAGCACGATAATGAGAAGCTGCTCGGTGCTCATGAAATAATATGTACACCAGAGAGATGGGGAAAAAGATGATCCTTTTTTTCCTATTTATTTTGCAAAAGATGAAAGGAAAGCCCAGAAAATGTGATCACTGAACCCTAAAGTTGGTTGTTGTCCCGTAATTCTACAGACATTTACATGTAAGCTAATTACTCACATTATTAAACCAGAACACCCACATCCTTGTGCTGGAAATCCTGGCTGTGCTTAGGGGAAAGAGTGCTTTGCTCGACAGCACTTAGGAATGGTCTCAAATAGCAGAATGAGCCCTTCTCTTGCCATGCAGAGGACTAGTAATTTGTTCTGGTAAACTAATAAACAAAGGCATGGGATTTACAGAACTTCAGTCCTGCTATCTTCCTTCAGTTATGCACTGACCAATTTCTTTTAGAAGGAATTTAGGGCCAAACTCATAAACACCAACATTTTGGGGTCAAGAGTCCCCTTCTCTCTTTGAGTGTGACAGGTATGGGAATCTGTGTCCTAAATGATCAACAACACAGAGCTAACTTGTAATAAAGGATTCAGCAATATAGAAAAACAAAACCAAACAACAACAAGAAAACCAAACACATGCGCTTAAAGCATTGCTAGATAAAAACAGAGTTTCCCTGTAGTTAATCAGTCTAGAGGATGTATTTATAGGGCTATCAAAACAATCAGAAACATCATAAGGCATAACATTTGTTTGCCTTCTCAGGAAAGTAACAGTGCAAGCTTATGGATCATTTAAATCAGACTTTACTATTTTGATGTCTCTGCCATTTGTTCTTTTAAATTTTCAGCCTAAGGGGTATATTCACCTATCAATGTGCATGTGTAAGTCCATTAAGGCTAATAGAAATTTGGTGCCTGAGTCCAAAGAAAAATCTACCGCTAAGATGGCATTTTGCATATGTAACTCACAAGAAAAATAACTTTAAAAATCCATTTCTCTTTATTCAAAGCATATAAAACAATTATATTAATTATATGTACAAGATAAAGTACTCGCTTGTGGAGTTTTAAATCCATTTAATAAATTTGCAATTTTATGCACCTCTCTTGCTTAAAATTGCCTTTTGCAAACATGCTTTAGGTGTTCTCAGGCTTTGAAGAACCTCGTGACAAATGGAAATCAGGAGAAATAGGGGTGGTGGGAGTCTATTTCTCAATACGGTTTTCATTTATTTAAATTCCACAGCACATGCACTTGTGCTGTTTCAAACTTGTTTCCGCCTGATTCAAATTAAAACCTAGGACACACACAAACAGCTTGCCTATATATTTTTTTTGCTTGTTTAAGGATCCATCTTTTGAGCTTTTCTTTGTATTTCATTTCCTACTCACACAAGAAATTCTCAGGCAAGAGTTGGTATTCAAATCAGATGTTAATTTAAAAAAATTGTTACATCTTTTTGTTTATTTTGGTAGAAAGGAAATATTGGTTCTTTGAGTTGCATTAAAACTAGATAAAAAACAATTTTTATCTTTATACATCTTTCGGGGAAAAAAAAATTCTACCTCAAGAAATTTCTTTAACAAAGAGAACATTATTTCAGACTCTAACATTTCTGTCTGCCGATTATCATTAGTCATAAGCTAAGCCCTGCACTAAATGTCTAGTGAGCACAGATAATGTTCATTTTGTCTGGAAGACAGGTTGCCGCCTGTCAAGGAGAGATGGAATAAATGACAGGTTTTGACTCTGTGCCTTGCAGGCATATTAGGCTAAGAAATCGCCAACATGATGAAAAATTATTTTGTCAAAAATTTGTAGGTCACCCATCATTGTCTAATGTATTCTGTGATTAATTGCTAGCATAGATCAGCATTATGTCTTTCCAGTGAATCGCTTAATTGTTGCCTGCTTCATGCTCTTAATGTAATGATGAGGCATCTGCTCCTTTCACATGTGCTTTTAAATGCCAGCTTTGCATCCAGGTTACAGGGTTGGTAATATGCAACTTAAAGAACTAGTTCAAATTAAAACTTCGAGACTGCCGTCTCTTCTTGGCTTTTTATGTGAGTGTATGTGGAGGCTGAGTGTTCGTGTTAATGTATGTAGATTTTATTTCTGATGAGTGATTATTTGACTGCTCATTTTACGAAGATTTATAGTGTGCTTTCTATCTCCTGACTGCAGTGCTACTCTTATCTTTAATAAAGGAGATGAGGACATTAATCAGCCATTGTCAGGGCTCCTGACTAAGACATTAAATGTACTGTATGGGATAGGTAAACACGCTCCAGATCCTTCTCTACTCCACTAGATCAGGCAAAAAAACACTCATTATATTTATCATAATTTCACATCTGCTGTTTTTGAAGCAATGTACCATGAGGCCATAAACTGTATTACAACTGTGCATAAATTCAACTGATTTGTGGCTGGAGTAACTAATTCCTAAAGTACATTTTAGAAAAACAAGCAGTGAGCCCTGAAATTGCAATTCCATAAAGGCACTAAATTACTGGCTGGAGAATCAAAAATTTGCTTGATGTGATTCTGCAGTGACCATTTTATAAAAAGTGACAGTGCGCCCGTGATTGAGTCAATAAAATAAGGACGAGTGAGCTGTGTACTCAAACAAGATTAAAGAGAAAGGGAGCGACAGAAGACAGGCTCATGGTGTACAAATAGAGGAAAGCGTGACGCTTCACCCAAAATGGCCTACGGATGCAGCCTTAATAGCAACAATATTGATTTGTCAGTAATCCTCTCATTGTTTTGGAGGTGAAAGAGGAAAATTTAATCTCTCCCTTACTCATTTCACAGCATAACTGGGAGCTTATTTGACATTTAACTAAAAGGATTTAGAAATATTTTTTAAAATCGTGGCATTAGCTATTGATTTAAGCTTGGATAATATTTTCCCAAAATCACAAAGGCTAATTCTTCACGGGTTATTTACTTGCATTCTGTATCTTAACAGTCTCTGTCTCTTTGTTAGGTCATCTAGCCCTATGTGGATGAGAGATGCATGTGTGTGCTTGTGTTTGTGGAGGGGAGACTGGAGTAACTACTTTTTGTGTACTTTTATCTTCATCAGCGTCTCTACCTCCATGTTCATTAACTTGATCTGTACCCCAACTTGCTATAATTGCCTTCTTCAAAATAGAAAGTAGGGCAGAGTGTGATTTTTTTCTTCTTTCTTTTACAGGACAGGTAAAACCTGAAACCATTGTTTTTGAAGACAAAAACACAGTTGACATCTGCTAAGCTGAAAGTATGAGGTACACATGATACTTGGGCTCCTGAAGCGAGGTGAGAGCTCAGAAATGAAACCTGCTAGGGGTGGCAACCGTGGATGTCCTTCTGGAATTCAGATATGATTACGTGATTATTTATTGACTGGAAAAAGCAATTTAAGAGAAACATAAATGGAACTGGGTCTTCTTTGCTTGAGTGTCCTAGGATAACCATCGCCTTTCACCAATTATTTTATGCATCTCTGCTATTGAGGCTAGAAGTGCCACTGAGGATCTTGGCTTTGTTTGGCTGTGATACATGTGCATTGTTTAACATCCTGTGTTTGAAAGCTCCTTCTCCTTAAATGTGGGCAAATACTTCCTGCCCAGGCCAATCATGGAGGGCATTTACACAGGATGTACTTTAGAGTAATATAGTCCTATTTGATTTTATTCATAGGATATATTTTGCTATATTTTATTCTTCTCCCTGACCACTATCCTGGTCAACTTTTATAACTACAAAGCTGGAGCTGGCACACTGCATATTGCTCTATTCTTTACACATAATATCAAGGCAAAAATGGTTGTGTTCATAAGGCATTGCATCACTTCTATCTAATAGTATCAGTCTGTGCATCACAGAGCGTTTCTTTTCCTGACATTATTACTTTACTGAAATTAAGCTTGAAACAATCTGATGTTAGATAACTGTATATCTACTTTTATTACCAGCCTTTCTGAGCCCACCATATTGCCAGGACTGCATCTCATTTTAGATGGGTTTAACCAGATATATATTCTCAAGTTTATTGAGAGTTGGATAGATTACATTTCCCATTCTCAAAGAGCAGGCTGGTCCTTTCAGTGCATTTTATAGAACAAATGTAAATTCCCATGCTGCAGTTGACAAAAATTCATAGTTCTTTTCTTAGTGTCAAAAATAAATCCAGCACAGCATTGGAGATGAGTAGGTTCAGTACAGTGGAGCAAGCTTCAGTTCACCCTTTCTGATTTAGCAGCAGTTTCGATGTACTTGAGGAATCTGTAAAAGTTCAATTATTATGGTCTAGGCAAAGAGATTTGCTCACACAACAGAGCCACTGTACTTGAGAATGAATTGTAAAGACTCAATGAAATGCAAAGCACTTTCTGAGCCCAGCAGACTCCTTTACCTCCCATCTCCATTTCCCTCCTTCTTTTCCCATCTACTTATTTCTCTTACACAAAGCCTTTCTTGAAGGATTTCACAGTAGTTAAATAAAACACAAGCATAAAAATCACACCACAATAAAAATGCAATAAAAATTAGTCTTTTATTGCATTTGGAAATCGATGTATTTAGAAGGTACAGGATATGCAAAGAATAGCTATCAAATAAATTTATTAGCAGCTTGGCTTGATCAGTTTTTCAAGACTGCTTACATATGTATGTCTTACAAGGAACGGCAGACTTGCATGAAAAAGGTGTTTATAGTTAAAAGCAAACCAAACATACTGAATCATGGAGAAAAATGCTCTTTCAAATACTGCACACTTTATCAACACAACCCACAGCTTGGATGGTAGACTGTTTTTTGCTTAAATCTCAAGAAGCTGTCTTTATAGACAAACAACATATCTTTCTATATTTATATTCATTGATTTTGATTTTTTTTTCCTGGTCAAAACTACGGTGTTCCTTTTAACTATCAAAAATTGGTGTTGCCTTAAGAAAAAGATAGAGTAAAAAGAAATATCAGAAGTGTTCCATGAAAAGAATGTAGCTCAACTGCTATAAGAGTCAGTCCAGGTGTGCCTGTTCTCACTATTTTTCTTTTGTTACGTCGTTTGGCTGCTTGAAGGTTGAGCAATTAGAGATTTGGTACAACTGGGAAGAGGTAAAACCCACAAGATTTTCAGCAGAGTAAATCAAAGTAATAGATACTTTTAAAGGAGGAAGATCTGGCTACTTATATTCACACTTTTATCTCTTACAAATCTCCCTGTTAGTATTGTAAAGAAGGTTGGATCTTATGAATCTCAGATGAAGTTGCTTCTCCAAGTGTCAGCCAGGTGAGAACAGCCTTTGGTTATATAGTAAAGACACATCTGGATGTACCTTGGCCATATACCTACCATCCTTGCCAAGCATATTAGACAGAAAAGGCTTTTTGTTGTAACTTTACAATCATCCATATTCCATTGTTTATGGTGTGATGATAAAATAGGTAAAAAATTATTCATCCTAGTAAATTTGGGTGAACAGTAACTTTCACAGTAGTCCAAAATAAAATTACAGCATTTACTTAGTGTCTACAAAAATTGATATCAATGAATATGGGTTTGCCTCAAGTGGGGACTACATCTTACATTCCAAGGCAATTCATGTGGTTAATAGTTTTGGTGCATTCACTATATGTCAGGTATAATTCAAACCATTATGAACTTGTCAAATCCCATCAGCACTCACACTGCTAACTCAAAAGTAATTAAAATCCAGGATGAAATGTGTTATTATGTAGAATATATATATATAT